TAAAGGTATTACTTTACTATACTTCATTAAATCAGGAAACACACCAGAGAGACATAGTTCTTCATGCAGACCAGTGACCAGCCTAGTTTTTTGGCTGTTTTAGTTAAGATAACATGGCTCACTTTGAGTAATTGTGTTTCTTTACACCACAATATGTAAATGTTACAACCAGTTATTGTTTATGAAACCTTTTCCTCTGTTCAGGTTACAGTTTCTGACCAGTATCAAAGAATCATCATCATTATTACAGCTCTTCACAAGTCCTCTGCTGAACATAGGTCTCCTCCAAGCAATGCCACAAAGCATGGTCCTGAGCCACCTGCATGTCTTACCAGTTTCTCACTCCATCTATTGGGGGGGCCACCCTACACTTCCCTTAGCAGTACGAGCCTGCCACTCAAGAACCTTTCTTACCCATCGGTTGTCAATTCTTAAAGCAATATGGCCGGCCCATTGCCACTTCAGCTTACTAACCTGATGGGCTATGGCAGATACCCTAGTTTTACTGCAGATGTCCTCAAAGAATCATTATTGGGCCCACGGGTTGGCTATAGACATTCAGTACTTGATTTTAATTATGTTTTCAGTTTAGGAGGCTTGTCAAAGTTAAGCTTAAACATTTTACACTGTTTTTGGATGTCTAAAATGCGTTTTGAATTTATTACGATAAAAATACATTGCACTAAAAGTTGCGTATAATGAAATGTAAATATATTTATTTGGTCTAGTATTGTGAGGTTGGATGTCAAAAACTGGTGTAAAAAGTGTGAGACGGAACAATATTGATGGCCAGTTTTTGGGTGTCCATCAGTGTTAAATGTCTAAAGTCTAGAGACATCCGATACTTAATTATGTGCTGGGGGTGCTTACCCTGCACCACCCCGTACACAAGTACCGGATGTATAGTTAGACCATTGCTATTTTTACAAACTTAGGCTGTAAAAAAAGTGGTTGTCATATTTTTCTTTCATAGCTTATCTATACAGCATTTGACATAGACTCCGTTCGACTCTTGTTAAATAGGCTACATCTTAAAATAAAAAATTCATGGCTGAAACTATTCTTTGACTACTTGTCAGGGCGATATCAGAGCGTGAAGGTTGATAGTTGTTGAAGTGATGATCTTCTCATATTATAAGATTGTACCACAGGATAGTGTACTTCCGCCCTAACGTGTTTACGCCTTCTAGCCGTGATTTGTTCACCCACGGTAAACTAAGAGGAACCTGCAGGGCCGGTCCGAGGCCACTCCGAGTGGGCTTGGCAAGCCCACTTGGGATATGTGTTAGTGGGCTGCGGTGAGAGTCCTCTCCATCTTTCGCCGCTGCCGAGGTGGTGTCGCGGAGAAAGCGGAATGTGAGTATCGTGAGGCACCGTTTCCTTTTCCTCCGCAATACGGGCGTCGCCGCACCGTTGATGTGGTGGATGTGGAGCCTTGGGGAAAAGGAGTGGCAGTATTGCAAGGCGCCGCTTTCCCTACCCTCCTCCGCAGCCGAATCTTGGTTGGCGACGGACCCACAGACCAGATCCGCCTCTGGGATAGAAAAAAACCCAGACCCGAGAGAAACGAGACATATCTCAGTTTTTTTGTTATTTATTATATAGTTAAATTATATATTTTTTATATTCGATATCAATGGCTAACACCAAAATATTGCATTATGTTTTTGTTCAGGCGTTACTCTAAAAAAAAAATACACAATCCTATTTATCTACAAAATTCGTAAATGCATGTAACTAAATGACGATACAATAGTTATGAGATGTATCTAAGTGACCTTTATCCGAACGTTAAATGTGAATAGCGTTTATTGGTTTCGGTGCGAGAAGTTATCGAATCCCAGTCGATTTCGCTTTCCGAGACGATTGTGAATAGTCCGGCTGGAAAGCTAATATTTCCGTATGCTCATTTTTCATTGTAGTGTAACTGGTTTCATTGTAGTGTAATTGGTTTCATTGTAGTGTAATTGGTCCCACACTATTATATTAATTCCATAAGTTATCTAAAAATTATTTAAAATGGTAGAATCATTGGCCTCGCGGATGACACGGCTCTTATTTTCCAGACAAGTACATGGTATTTAACCTAGTACAAAAGGGGTTTGATTTAGTAACTAAATGACAAAGAGAAAATTAACATCCGTTCTGTCCTCGATTAATAATCAAATTGCAGATGCAGTGGTAAAGCCACGCGGCAGCTTTTGCTGTGGCACGGATATGCCGGCTCGAACCGGAGTGGTACCAAGACCTCATAGAATACCAGCCTGAGCATCCACGACCAAACTAGTCCACTCCTGAGCGTGATTGCTCAGGCTGCCTCGCGTATTGGGGGGGGGGGGATTCCGTTCGCTACTAATACTGCTCCATCGGGAAAACAACTTTTTTACACCTAATTGTTCATGCAAGATTATTTGTATTTGACTCATGCCAATGTCTAAAGTTGCCTGAATTTCGCGGTATGTCACATGTCGATCTTCCTCAATCAGCTTACGCACAGCATCAACGTTTTCTTGGGTGACTGCAGTTTTTGGACGACCTTGACGGGGATCATCACTGAGCTTGACACGTCCATGTTGAAATTCAGCAAACGAGCGATAAATTCTGGTTTTGGATGGGGCTTCATCACCAAATGCAGAAATCATCCGGTCAACACACTGTTTTTGTGTTAAACCACTTCGAAAGTCATAATAAATCATTGCTCTTGAATTTTCTCGACAAAACCTTGTGACAAGACCAAGAACCTTTTTTTTAAATAAACAAAATGGTTTTGATTTTAATATGACAGAAACAGTGGAAATATTCCATTCCCGATACTTTTAGTGCAGCCTATGTATGTTCGGGTGGAATTTAGTAATTAATTAAACTAACATCCCTATGAGCTAGAGACTTGAAATTATGAACATATGTAGCTCAGAATCTGATGACAGTGTAAGAAAAAAAACGTAGTATATCTTTTTTAATACATAATGATTTATGTGTGGTTGTTTATTGATGTTAACAAAATTTATACAAACATTGAGTTATATGTACTACGTACTAGAGAAACTATTCCAAACAAAAAATGTGCGCTAATATATGTCTTCGCGCATGCGCGAAAGAGTCGCGCATGCGCTGTTGGTATAAGCGCGTTGCGCCTGCGCGTTCAGTTTTTATCATCATAGATTAGGTACCCATGCGTAGCCAGAGAATGATCAGTATGTAATAATTTTTTATTTAGATTTTATGGTTAATTATATCGAGTACATTTTTTTTAAATGTTGTTTATTTTTATGTGCTAATTTAATATAAAATACTCTTATTTTAATCTAAACAATACATATTTGTGAATAAAATGTAATAATAATTCTTTGATAGTAAATGTATGATGACGACCAATTCGTACCTATTCATTTGTAGCAACAAGGCTTATGTACACTTTTTAACTTCCCGCTATGAAAATCAATGATTTTCTAAAAATCGGGAAGTTATTGGTTTCACCCCAGCTTTCGAAAATCTAGGTTTCATCAGATCTCGAAGTTTTGAGGTCCTACAAAGTTATTCCTACGAGGATGTCAGTATGTATGTCTGTCTGTCTGTGTTTGTGGGTGCGCCTGTGCGTATACATGTGCGTGCGCGCGCGTGTGTGTGTGTGCGTGTATGTGCTTGCGTGTGCTCACGTGTACGTACGCGCGCGTGTGTGGGTGCGTGCGTGTATGGATGTATATAACCGTCTCATAACTTTTGAATGGCTTGACCGATTTCAACGAACTCGGCGGCGTTCGAAAGAGCTTCACCAAACTTTGATTTTCTATACCAATTGAACTGAACGGACCGTTAGATTTTAGAGATCTCAAAAATAAAATTTTATAAAAAAAGTTTTTATTTAAATAACTACAGATGTAATGTAAATAAATACCAAAATCTAATCAGCTCATAAATTCAATAAAAACTCCGTTGATGCTGCAAACCGCGTCATCGCAAATAGGTTGATGCGTTGAAGAGAAATCGTTAATGCTTTAAGAAGCCTGAATGACCTTGACGAAACGGCGACCGCAGATATTTTAGACGACGTCAACACCGTCTAGCAACTACTTTCTGTATTACTTAGAAAAGTGGAAAGATTAGGTGAAAAGTATATACGTGATATACCGCCTATTATGCTTGCGCATCACTGAGAGTTATGTCGCGGTTAAGCATCTTCAATTACATTGCACGGTATGGTGCTGTAGCTTCGTCCGGTTGGCATCACGAGCTATCAAGCGTTTAAGTTTTAGTACGTAAAAGTTTTTATTATATTTGTTGAATAGTATTTATTTGTGTCGTATTAGTAGCTCTGGGTCTAAGCGCTCACTGTAAATTTCGCCCGGGTTTGGTCCCCGACAGCACCAATGAAATTTTTAATTGAAATTAAGTGCTTATTTAGCACGTGCTCGGCGGTGAAGGAAAACATCGCAAGAAATATTGCATGTCTGAGGAATAAGAAAAAAATTTCGAAATCGTGAAGTTCGCTAACACGCATTGGGGCAACACGGCGGACATTTCCTTGCCCTAAAACATGTACGAGTGCATAATAAAATTATTGTTATTACAACCATAGGGCGGAGACCTGGCGTCCTGAAATACAGACGCAAAGTCTAGCTCAGGCACCAGTCTCCCACAGTATAATATTGAGGCTATACTGTAATATTCTGTACAATAATTTTGTATTGTGGTGAGAAAATAAATTATTATTATTAACAATAAAAATATTTATAGTAAGTATAGTATAGTAGGTCATAAATCACATGTTGTCCATAAATCACATTTACTCGTATTTTCAAAAACTGCAATAACCGTATATCATTATATATATTTGAACTTTAGTTTAAAATTTGGCTACTCTTTGATAAATAACCCTGTATATGTCACCGTATATAAATGTATTATTTTTACCAATTATGTTATTTTTAAGTCTCATTTTATATATATTTTTGAGATAATAAACTCTTTAAACCTAAAGTTAACTTATTTGTTACCGGCAGGTTCATAATAATAGCTCCTTAGTGTCAATAGTATCATCTGTTATATTACGTCGCCTGGATAAAAAACCGGATCGTGTGGAAATTTCTGAAGAACAGTTGGTACAAGCGACTCTTAGAGCTGAAGAACTAGCAGCAGAAGTTGGTAGACCACTACGTGTAGTAGGGTGGTACCATTCACATCCCCATATTACTGTATGGCCATCACATGTTGGTAAGAAAATAAAGAAAATAAATATTTTATCGCCTAAATATTATTTTTCTATGTTTGTTACGTCTGTATTTTTTGCACCCTTGATAAATATCTATATTATTATATATTAAGCTATAGATATAAATAATATAGTATCTAACCACTTTTGTTATAGATCTTGCTACTCAATCAATGTACCAACGAATGGATTCCAGCTTTGTTGGCATTATATTTGCGGTGTTTTTAACTGACCAATCTTCCAAAGCACCTTCGGTAATTATTTTTTGTATGACAACAGTTAAGGTACGTTGGGGTAATACCGGACGGATTTTCGAAAAGTTGGAAGAGTCTGCCAAAAACTTTAATTTCTCGACATTCGTATACGTCAGATTTATGGAACACGGAGCAAACCGTTAATCGTTAAACGTAGTTTAGCTCTGAGAATCTTTTGCTTGTGTAAACTCAACGGTTTCTGCTTTAAAGGTGTGCGAAAACTAGACACACTTTTTTATATGCATAATGAAAAATTGGCCATTAAGGGGTAAGACCGGACTTAAATTTAAAACCACTTCTACTGCTTAGAGAAAAAAGTTTATAAAAGAGATTTGTTCTATATTTAACGCTTAAAAACATATTTCAATATGATCTATAAATTACTAGAAACATAAATGTTCCAAACGATTTTCTCTTTTTTTATTTCTTGCCATCCGATCTTATCCCTGATATAAAGAAATTGTAATTTTATGTTTCTCAAACTTTGTTATGACATAAGATGGAATCTATACATATAATAAAACTGTAAATAGCAGATGTCTGTACATTTTATATTTTTGTAATAAAAGTGATTGAGGGGTACTAAAAATAAGTAATTAAATACATTTCTACCATTTTTAGAATTTTCTGTCTGTCTGTCTGTCTGTCTGTTTGTTTGTTAACGTATCACGTATAAAGTACTAATTTATATCATAAGAATTGTTAAGGAAATTATAAAGTGTATCTTCGTGTTACATTTAGTCTTTATTTCATTAAAATCAGTTCATTCCATCAAAAGTTACGATAAATATTCTGAAGTATGGGTAGGGAAGTATAGGTACGAATTTGCTCAACGGTGGCTTTGTTTGAGTCATCAAGTGCATTTTAAACTAATATCATATCATAAATCATAGTTAAATTATGTAAAATAATGATATAATTACGTATATTTAAAACGCAGTAAACAAAAGTATTAAAGAACGTATTAAATATATTATACAAAAATATATTAACCTTATTAACTAAACCTGAAGCACAATAGTTAACCCATTTCTTCGATAGATGGTGGTGTTGTGAAAATGTAATGCAATTGCAATGTGGTTTTTACTGCTAATATATATGCTGCTAATCTTTATTATATTACTCGCTACCCTACTGCGTGTTGACAAACTCAATTTATTCTTTACCGCCGAGTACTCTATGTGGTAAATCAAATTTTAAAAGAGCTATTAACAATTGCGTTGGTTTTGGCGAGAGTCAAACTTTATTTTTTGCTTACTGTGCAGGCACTGATTTATAAGTTCTCTTGCGTTTTATATAATGTATCAATCGCGTCAATTAATCTCTTTTATTTTTAGAATTGATGTTAGCAGCGCCATCTCTCTTTAAATATATACATATAATAAAAATGATGATAACATGTTGTGTCTCTTTCTGTACATTGTATATATATTTTGGTGGCTAAAATCATTATGGGGAACTGAAAATAATTAAATAAGAACATTTTATAATTTTTAGAATTGTCTGTCTGTCTATTTGTCTGTATTATATGAACGCATCACGTCTAAAGTAAACATCTTTTATTTTCAAAGAAATCTTTAAGAAAATCATAAAGCGTATCTTCGAGTTACATTTAATCTTTGTTTTATTAAAATTGGTTAATTCTATCGAAAGTAATGATTATTATTTTGAAATGTAGGTTCGAATTTGTTCAATGGCGCCATAAAATCTCAGAAATAGTAATAAAAAGATTTGTGTGTAAAAAAAACGTTCCATAATAATTAATATATTTATACTTAAAACACAAAAAGAGATTTAAAAAGGATGTTTTCTCACAAAAAGGACGTAATAGATGGAGTTGTACAAATTACAAACTTTTCTGAATTGCTGTGTTGAGATTTTTCGCCGATGAATCGTATTGAGACTTCTAAAGAAATTTGTATCCATCGAAGCCATACAACGGAATCCGACCAAAAATAAAAATTTTGCAACGAAATGTCGTGATATTGTATTTATAATATAATATGCAAAATCAGTACTGCCATTTTAGCGCTTTGGGAACTAGATTTAGCGCTTTTTTGGAATGTATAGCGCGCATTTCGAAATTTTAGCACCTAGCTTAATCCAGCGCTTTTTGGTGTATTTAGCACACATTTCAATATTTTAGCGACTAGCGGGTTATTAACTCTTTTACTGCAGCACTCTTAGTCCACATTACCGATAATAATAATAATGACCTTTATTATTTTTTCCCACAAATAGTACATTGCAGTTTATCTTTTTCAAACATATTTTTTCCACAAAACAAAGAGCATGGGAGACGAGTCCAAACTAGGATACCCTGTGCTATGGATCTCCTGGCTTCCCCTTTAGGATGATCAACTTGATTTTTTTACCGACGACTATAAGCGGGGAAATCCCCTTTATTAAAGTTTTCGTTCATGGTTTTGGCAACGCATTTATTTTGCTTTATTCAGTTTCAGTCAGTTGCTTAGAGCACAGCTAAGTTAAAAGTTACTTAGAAGTTATAACACAAAGAAACTGTGTAGCAACCGCAATCAGATGCTGACATCTGAAACTAAGTTGCGAAATACATTGCACTTTAAAACAATTAATGACATTTTTATTGTTCGTACAGTACTACCTACTGTTGACAGCAATTGCCATAATTATAAGTCGATGTCCTGCGAAGTATTGATACATTTAGCGCGAAATCTAGGGCTTTTTAAAGCGCTGTTTTCATGAAATCTAGCGCTTTTTGTGTTGTCCTAGAGCTGAATGAGTTTTTTTTTATCTGGCAGCACTGCCCTAAAACCCTCTATTAAGAAGTAACTTTCAGTTTTAAGCGCGTTCAGTTCCCAGTTACAGTGAACGTGTGTTATGCGATGACCGTAAATAAAGCGCAAGGTCAAACTTTACGCGTTGTAGAGTGTACCTAAGTACTGACTGTTTTGCACATGGCCAACTCTATGTTGCTTTTTCCCGCGTTAGTAGCCCCCGTAACCTTTTTGTGTACACCCCGGCTAAGCCTACTTCTAACGTCGTTTACACAGAAGCTCTATCATAAACGACTTAGAACTTTGATGATAATGATTTATTTAGTTACCACTTATTGATACAGTAATGAAATAAATCGTTTAATATTCTCTTACCTAAACGACAAATTCTTTATGTAAAACCTGTATACGCGAGCTACGCCGCGGGCACAGCTAGTTACTCAATATAAGAGAAAGATCGGATGCATTTGATTTTATATGGGAAAAAAAATAACAGTAAGGACTGGCGAAATGCCCTGGGATAATGCAGGAGTTAAGGAAGATATAAATATTTTAACAAAGCGGCATTTATTATTATAAATTATTTTTTAAATAATTATTATAAATTACATTTTGATTTGTAATAGAGGATAGATATAGATGTCTATGGGCCGCAGCAATCACTTAAGGTGACACTAGTCGACAATATTTCCATTGATTTCCATACAAATTTCGGAGGGGTTTTACTACGCTGTTTGACAGTGTACATCCAAAGTTAAACATGATATCGTTTTGTCTCATTATCAAATTTGTCTGTACGGAAACAGAATAGTAAAATAAAATGTTATTAAAAAGTTACGAGCTACCAAAGATTCGTTTTTATTGCCAATTTTAACACAACTTTGGGCGTAAATTAGTAATAAAAGAAGTGTGAAATTTCCAAAACAAAGTCGGTACCGACACAGCTCAATTATCGAAGAATTCAAGAAATTTTATTCGTAATTAATTTATGCAGTGGTTTTTTCATAAAACCCCTTCTTCCAAAGGCCTTTTCGTATTTTTTTACGCGCGTATGTTACTATGAATTATCGTGCATCTCACTGAATAATGTTTGCCCCGGTGCGGTGCGGGAGGACGACGCTTACACACACATGCACGGGCGGTGACGCGGGCTTATTCGAGTTTTATTCGAAACGAAAAGTTTTGCTATTTTGTAATTTGGACGCCAAAGACAAAAGACAGCATGGAAATTGATATAATTGAAAGAGATGATGCGTTTTGGACGACAGACAATTTTGTTTTTTATTTCAATTTTCGTCTGTAATATAATATAATTATAAAAGAAAAAAAATTAAGTCTATAATATACGATTACTATATAAAATTGCAACAATTTCATTGGTGCCGACGGGGATCGAACCCGGGTTGCTCGCGTAGTGTGATACTTACGGCGAACGATAACCATCTGAGCTACCACGGCTCTCAATGCAAGTGTTATAAATAAATAAAGAATTACAAAACAGTTTAATTATTTATTAGACGACTCTTGCGGCGGACAAACAAGGTATATTATGTGGGATTTTCATAGGTACCTACTGTTATTACCTAGATACCTACAACCTACAATACAACAAAATGTCACAAAACGTCACCGCGTCGTGGCCACAAAATTGTAAACTTTAGGTAGGTACGTCAGTACTAAGAAAACAATCTTGATGGGTCACTTGTCTTGATAAAAACCTGTGTTTACGTTTAGTGATATTGAGTATATATAAAAAAAAGTAAGAAGACAGGTAAGTATTTTTGAAAAAAATTTATAGGTAAGCAGAACTAATTACAATTATTATCTAAATATTATAAATGCGAAAGTTTGGATATTTGGATGGACGAATGAAAGGATGTATGTTATTCAATCACGCCAGAACCGCTGAAGGGACCTGGATGATATTTTGCTCAGAGATAGGTTATAGTCTGGAATTTTATTTTATTTTATTTTTTAAAAATACATTACCCCCGCACTAGCATTTTCTCCTGTATAGTGGAAGCAGTTTACAAACATCCAGACCCGGAACAACTATTTGTAGGCCATACAAATTTTTTTTTTCTTATTTAAAAAACGTTACACCCACACTAGGAGTTTCTCCTGTATCGTGGAGGCAGTTTACAAACATAAATTGCACAAGGACAAACATCCAGACCCGGAAGAATTATTTGTAGGCCATACAAATACTTGTTCCGTGCGGGATTCGAACCCGCGGCTCCCAGTAATATAAAATATTTCGTTCCCGTGGGATAATTTTTGCAGTTACACACGTTCGAAGCCGAACTCTTGAGTGATCGCTGCATAACCACTCGGAAAAACTAAACATAATAAAATAAGCAATCTATATTAGGTATATAGAGCCACAGAGGTATAATATGAAGCGATAAAGCAGCGCCTAATCATTTCGCGGTTTCACCCGCGTCATCATGTGTCCGAGATGCATGGCATGACATGACACCTAGTTTTATAATTGCAATCAAATATTTTATTTGATAATAATGTATGGAAAAATTGTCATAATTAATGAAGTACTTTTATTTTATCTGTCGGCATACTATGCGCGGTTTTATTCAGTTTTAAAGAAAAACGTACACGATACATGAAAAGTGTGTAGGCAAGAAATGATTCTTGATACATTTGCTATCAACCTCTTATACTCTTATACGGCTCCGTGGCGCAGTGTCTTAGCAATGAGTTGCTGAGCAGGGGGCCGCGGGTTCGAATCCCGCACGGATCAAGTATTTGTATTTGTATGGCCTACAAATAATTGTTCCGGGTCTGGATGTTTGTCCTTGTGCAATTTGTGTTTGTAAACTGCCTCCACGATACACGAGAAAATCCTAGTGTGGGGGTAACGTCTTTTTTTTAAAGAAATAAATAAAATAAAAACTTATTAATCAATTAAACTTTCAAAATACCATAGCAACGTGAAATGAAAGAGTTCAGAATTAACTAATCATTGTTACGCTCACCTGGGAGATAGATAAAAGCACTCAATTAATTTTGAATTTATTTTAGCTACCAGCTGTTCCCCGCGACTTCGTCCGCATTTAGTTTAGGGTGTTAATTTTGTTGCACGGACGCCTAATAATTTTTCTAAAATTTAAGCATTCTAAGTTACTACTTATAACATGAGCTATCTACTAGTGAAAGTCCCGTCAAAATCGGTCCAGCCGTTTTGGAAATTAACCGGAACAAACAGACAGACAGACAGAAAAATGTTAAAAATTGTGTTATAAGTAGCGTATATAATTTCATATGCAATTAGTAAAAAGCTGTTATTTTGACATTATAACAGACACTTCAATTTTATTTATTTGTGTAGATATAGATAATGATTGAACTAACGGCTAACCTAACCTCGCTCATAGAAGCTTTCAATACTGGCTTCTCAGTTCGCACCGGGCTAGGGGTTATGCGTTGTTTGCGCGTCAAGGCCAAGTATTGAATTATTTTAATTTTACATTATCTCAACTATGTACTATATAAACATGGCATAAACAACGAAGTTTATCTTCAAAAAATTGTCTTGATAATGAAGTAACTTTCGTTCGTAAGGATAAATATGCCATGCCTAATAATTAAATTTTCATTTTTTTTTTGTCAAAATAAAAATGCCTAATTGTGGCTTATACGAGTATATAAAAAATAGACATATGGTATCGCGGACTTTTTTTTAGACGGAGTAAAGATCTATATTTTCTGCTTTATTATATTAGTATAAATGTTGCATCGTGTTCGTGTAACTTCGTTTTTGTTCAAACGGTTCTGAATGCCGTACGAACAAGACGTGCGTGAATACTAGTGTCGATATGCTCATCACTGATACTATCTCTGTCGGGCACGATGCCAGGTGAGACAGCGTGCTTTTTGGCCGCGCCCACCAGCGAGTTCGAGCCCGCGACTTGTGCCACCTTAACATCAGGTGGACTGTGTGCTCCTTTGTCACCCTTATCCTATAAAAAACTGTATTTTAATGTGTACTTAAAAGTAATAAAACCATCGTATTGTTTTATTACTTTTAAATATACAGACTTGCTAACGAGACTGAGTCCCAACGAAAAAATATACACGACCAATGAAAGTTTAACAACCACTGCCATATTTGTAACAGGCAAAGATCGGATAATATTCATCCGATCTTCACTCATGCGGGGAAACATCGGATCTCGGCCTACAGCGATCTTACCCCTGCATGGGCCAGCTTTATTTAGCTATAACTTCATAAAAATTAGTATCCACACAAAATAATAACAAAAGAAGCCATATTCTCGCTAAAAATCGTAAATAAAAGTGATAGGGAAAGATCGGATGGACAAAAATAATACAAAAATTACATTGTTTTATAAAATGCCACGCAGCACAGGTCCCACTTGCCGGAGTGACTGGCGCGAACTGAGGGTCGGGGCAGGATGAAATGGCGTCGTGTAGCATATTGTTAGCTTTTCAAAATATAGCATAATTCGCCGGGAATTTGAATCCTACGGTCTTGCCCCATCACCGATCTTACCCCAACGTACCTTATTTGTTAAGTTCATCAGTGCCAAACTAGATTTCCTTAAGATATTATTAATAATAAAATAATCCATTGTAAAAAATTTATTATTCATTTTATAACTCAGGTACAAATCACATGTTTTCAATCAATTAATGAAGGTTCAAGTCAAAGTAGAAGGGAGATAGAATTAGAAATAACAAATAATAATGATTCTTTGACTGTAAATAACTTTGAGGTAAGTAGAAAAATATAGTAGAAGTACACGTAAATTTTGTTTTTATTTTATAGATAACAATTACATTATTTTATAGATATTGACACAGTTACCTGCAATATTAAAGGAAGAAGAAGATGAGTCTTACAATAATGAGGCTGGTCAGAGTGAAACTGATGACATAATTACTAAGCAACATAATGCAGCAGTAAGGACTATTGCTATAGGACATATTGTAGAAAAGGTAAATTCTACTTATACGGGGTTATTTTTCAAAGAGTACACAAATTTTAAACTTGAGTTCTAATATATAAATAATGATGATATACCGTTATTGGTGTTTTTAAAATTACGAGTATATAAGGCTTCTACTTTTATTTGAAATTATTCCAAATTGAATGTGATTTATGGGCAGCAATTACGCGTAGGTGCGGTCTTCTGTGTGCGATTCAATTTACAACATTTTTGACGACCGATTGACCGTTACGAATGTGCGTGCGCGTAGTAAAATAGAAGGCGTTACTTATTTATGAATGAGAATCAGTTAAAATAATGCATTACAATGCATTTTGAATTCAATAGATAAAAAGGACAAAATGTTTGAGTTTTTTAAATTAATTTTTATTCACCATTTGCCTATAATACGTATTCTGAACCTTCTCCACAAATTTGGCCGTTTATTGCAAAATAACCCTGTTTATTTATTCATATTACGTTCGCCCTTTTTATTGTTTGAGATAAAGTGGTAAAAGTAATGACCCTATTTGATTCAGCTATTGTACGGTCTTTACAAACGGCACATTTCTGCACATCAGCATTTTTACCTTATTGTATCATTTTTCATTCTCATCAATTCAGTACGCAATCATTCGCCGTCACGCATTGTACTCACTATCAATAATATCAGAATAAATTACATAATCAGTTCTCAGCCTTTATCATTTCTATCAACTTCTAAGATTGTACAGCACAGCAGCTTATACATCTTAATGGTCCTTCGAGCATTGATTTAGTGCCGGTAAAATCAAAGCAGGACCATGCGGTTCGACAATGTGACTTCGTTTCGCCCGTTTAGCGCTGCCCGTGTATTACCGCCTATTCAGCAAAAACATTTTTTGCCTTTGTGTTTCTGTGTATGAAGTTCAATAGCGAATCGGTCGAGTCGGCCTCCTACAAGCGGGTTTCACCGACGAGATTGAGAAGGCGCATATATTGCAATAGGATACCGGAGCACTTGGCAACAACATCATCTCCGTGACTTGGAAGCATCCGTCACCGGATTATCATTCAAATCGTCTATTAATCAGAAAAAAATGGAAGATTTACTATCAACTCGGCAACCACTTCTTGTGTGTTCGGAATCCCGAACGGAAAAAGGCTGCTCCGAACGCAAGTCTTTCATGGATTTTGTTCGAGTCGCAACACACATTCGTAAATTCCGTACGGAACGCGCTCAGTGTTTATCATAGATAATATACTATGTAGGACTTAGATGAACCACTCTGACAAAGTATTAGGCGACGAAACGAAAGAAGTTTCTTCAGCGCTTCTATGGATGGCGTTAGGATTATAAATTATTAAAAATTACACTAGAGGGCGCTATCAACTAGGTTCAGTATTATTTCGTACATATTTCAATAAAATTAAAATGTATATAATTACTAACTAATGAGCAATTGCAGAAAAATAGTTGACAAAAATTATCGCGTCTAGAAATAAGTTATATATAAAATGAGTTTTATTATTTTTCTATGATTTTTCATATAAAAATGTATTTTAATTAAAGCCACAGAAAACAACAAACATTTTTGGGAATATCAAATGACTTAAATCATTTTACTCTGTTCAAGTGTTTTTGCATGTGCATTTAGTATATTCATACTATTTTCGTATATACTTTGTAAGACTACCAACACAACACAAAATATTTTTATATTAAGTTATTATTAGTAATAACTGTACTATCAGTAATAATAAAAATAAAAGTGATATGGCTGATAATAAGTCTCTTACAAAGAATTTCTTACAATAATACATTATCTCAATCATAGCACTATGTAACAATTCCATTTAATGTTATGCCAACACTAGCTAAAATAAAATATCACTGTTTTTTACTGGCTTTACGGCTCTGGGTTCTAGCCCTTATGAGAATGTCACTATGATACAAAAGCCCTGGAGCCGTGCCAGAAATATACATTTATAGTATGCAAATATATAATAGAGATACAATAATCTAAAAACTCTCAATTATGTATTAAGCTAACATCAAACAACCATAGGAAGCATGACTTTTTCCAAGTGACATAGGACATAACCTAAAAAGGTTCAAATGTAAATTCTTTGACAGAGTTATTAAGGGACTGACGCTTAACATTTTAAGATAGTTTTGATATATAGACGCTACTATTTCTTCTCATTTAATTTTATGTATGAAAGTCTGCCATTGCTCTTTGTTTTAAATAACTCTGTTTTAGTTGACCATGGTATGAATTGCTTCGTTTATTCTCATAGAATTATTCTATATATACCGCTGTGTTTCAAAACTTTGCTAGCATGATTTAAGCTTCGGTATAAGTAATTAATACCAGCAGTGGCGCCATCTTTTTAATAGATTGTGTAAAAATATTGGAGAAAATAGTACTTTTAATGACTGTGAGATGGCGCTAGTATCAACGTAATAGCAAGCTACTGAGGACTTTCATACCCCTGGTGTTCGTCGCACGACCGAAGCGTGTAGGTGTGTTAATATACGTTTTTACATTTAATGTTATATGTGATAGCTTTCCGTTACCTTTCATCTTATTTTGTCTAATAATTTGTCGAAAGGGTTTACAGACATCTATATTAAAAAATTTCTCTTGATAGATAGATCTTTTTATATAATATTGACTATATTGCAAGCTTAGGGTGATAAGGGGATGCAATAAAGAAATGCAAATGGAGTCGCAATCAGAAAATCGTCGTAATTATTCGCTGGCAGAATGTCTAGACTCAATGGCAACGTCTCAACTGAGCCTTGTTATTCCGAACGGAAATAAACGTATGTGTGTGATGTATAATGTGTATGTGTATGTGTGTGTGATGTATAATGTGTATGTGCATATGTGTATCTGTATATGATCTAAGTAATTTGGTGTGTAAGTATACGCAACTATCACCACTACTTTCAATGATGTCTCGAGAACCGTGCCGGTGACTATATACAATGTGTTAATTTTACACTTGATCAAACGAAATGTGCGGATACTAGATAAAAAATTATCGGTAAAAAATCGAAAAAAAAATTTTTTATGTAAACTGTTTAAAAAATAAAAGCATTTGAATTTTTTTTTTGTTAAAATTCCCATCCTTCGATTTTAAATTATTTTCTCTTTAAGTAAACGGTGTATTTTTTTCAAAGTAGTTTTATTTGGAAGTTAGAAAGATTAACTAGCAACAAAAATTAAAAAAACCTACGATATCAAGCAGGAAATTTGTCAAAAAAATAATAATATAATTTTTTTTGTTAAAAAAATACTTTTCTTTTTAATTTTTGGTCTGTAACTTCAAAACTAGTACATTGAGATAACCTTTTTAGCATGTTTTATTAAACTACGTAGCTTATTGTACAAGTTCTCCAAAATAATATGCGTTCTATCTCTTTTCATTTTTAAAATAATAATCATCAAAGAATGCCATCGGTATGTTGATTTGCGCTTATGCGCCCCACCTACCTCTAATTTGAACACCCCTGGTGGAACAATAGCAGGTAAAGATAAAAAGAGATAGATCAATGAAAGGCGAAACAAGTGAGTGAGAGAGTGAATTGTCGTTTGAATGAAATTTGGGTCTCGTTCTCGTAAGGCATGCAGGCAGCTTTAGCTATTTTAAACAGTTCATCTTGTAACGTTACCTAATTTGCACGTTGAATACGCTCACCATTTTTTTCGTCGTTATGCCTTCTACGATAGACTCATTGTCTGCTCGTGAAGTAGCTGACATTCATTACATTTACGGGTTTTGTGATGGCAACGCTCGCGCCGCCTCTCGAGAGTATCATCAGCGATTCCCGACAAGACCTGCCGTTGACTACAGGGTTTTCTTAGCAGTAGGTACATCGAGAATTAAGTGAAAATGGACTGCATCGCCCACATCGTGAACGTGCTTCTACTGTACCGGTGGATGTGGATGAACAAGTGTTGCGTTTGGTGTACCAAGACCCCACAATTAGTACTCGACGAATAGCACTCCAATTGGGGATTAATCACGTCCAAGTGTGGAAAATTTTGAAAAAGTAATGTTTGTACCCTTTTCATTTTCGAAGAGTGCAGAATTTGCACGAGCCAGATTACGTCGGAAGAAGTGTTTTCTGTTCGTGGCTATTGCGGCAAAGACGATTAGTCCCGAAATTCTGTGACCGTATTTTGTGGACCGATGAGGCAAATTTTAACAGAACTGGAATCACAAATCTTCGAAACCTTCACTTGTGGATGCCGGAGGAAAAAAATCCCTTAGCAGTTCGGCCAGCGTCCTTTCAAATCGAATTTTCGATTAATGTTTGGGCTGGAATGATAAGTGATTACTTAATCGGACCATTTATTCTTCCGTCAAGGTTGACAGGCCCAGCTTACCTAACATTTCTACAAGAAGAGTTACCTGACCTGATGAGTGATGTGGATCTACAAACAAAGAGGAAGATGTGGTTTCAGCATGACGGCGCTCCAGCTCACTTCAGCACCATCGTGCGTGATCATTTAAACGAACTATACGGAGACAGATGGATTGGACGAGGCGGACCAGTAGCGTGGCCGGCACGAAGCCCTGATATGACCCCCCTAGATTTTTTTTGTGGGGCCACATGAAACAGATTGTGTACAGTACTCCAATTAGTACAAGAGAAGAATTGTTACAAAAAGTAATGGCTGCGGCTAGTCAAATAAAAGAAAATCGTACTGTATTAAAAAAAACAGTACGCAGTGTGGCATTACGTTCAACTGTATGTATGGATGAAAATGGTGGTCATTTTGAAAATTTAATAAATTAAATCATTTTTCTACGGTTTCTTTTGTTTTATTCCATAATTTTGACAATTAAATCATTATTAAATCACTTTTGAATTTTGTGCTCAGATTACCTACCTTATTTTTAGTGATTATCTTAACAACGAAAAAAGATAGAACGCATGTTATTTTAGAGAACTTATACAGTAAGCTACGTAGTTTAATAAAACATGCTAAAAAGGTTATCTCAACGTACTAGTTTTGAAGTTACAGACCAAAAATTAAAAAGAAAAGTATTTTTTTAACAAAAAAAATTATCTTATTATTTTTTTGACAAATTTCCTGCTTGATATCGTAGGTTTTTTTAATTTTTATTGCTAGTTAATCTTTCTAACTTTCAAATAAAACTACTTTGAAAAAAATACACCGTTTACTTAAGGGGCTACTCCATGCGAACGACCTTGAGCATTTTGCCGGCGGCACGCCGCTCGCCTCAATATATTGCTTATTTGAAATATGTACGACGCCACCACCTATTGTAGGTACGAACGTAGTATTATTTTTTCAACATCAATGAACTAATTTATGGAAATACACACAGCGTACAACGATAAATGTATTTTAATTTTTTTATTCGGTATATTAGTTGCATTATATTAGAATTATGTATTTTCATATATTACCTAATTATGAAATTTTATAATTAATTATATATTAAAAATGAAGCATTGAAAATTATGAGTTTAAAAGATACCTATTCACTATAGTATAGGTAAATAAATAGATAGCTCGCCTTTTGTACAAATATTTGGTGCAATAAAGAATAAATAAATAAATAGGATGTTTCGTAGATGTGTTTTTGATTATTGTTAATTTTACGTGTCACGTATTGAAAAGTAATATACTTACCTACTAATACAAAAATCAACAAGAAGTATAAGGGTTCAATCTTTCAATTTCAATTGTAAAAAAACGTTACCCCCACACTAGGATTTTCTCCTGTGTCGTGGAGGCAGTTTACAAACATAAATTGCACAAGGACAAACATCCAGACCCGGAACAATTATTTGTAGGCCATACAAATATTTGTTCCGTGCGAGATTCGAACCCGCGGCCCCCAGCGCAACAACTGATTGCTAAGCCACTACGTCACGGAGCCGTCGCCGGGTTATAGCTAAAGTGACCATACGTCCCGTTTTGAACGGGACTGTCCCTTTTCTCGGTCACCTGTCCCATTGTCCCCAAACAAAGCTCCGGGACACAAAATTGTCCCGTAACTCGTTGAATGGAAGTATTCAAAGTCAACAATCTTCAACATAATTTTTTTTAATCAAATATATTTTATGTCTACCTGGTACGAATGCTCCGATAGAAAGAGTATTTTTTTATTTTGAATAAATTGTGGACGTCTGAAAGAAACACTTACGGTTCCAGAGTTCTAAAGGCGATTTTGTTAACAAAGATAACAATAAAAAAACTTGAGCAGAATTTTATTTTTATTTAAAATCATCACCAACTTTATTAAAGCAAATTTAATCCACTGACAAATGTAATTAATAATTAAAAAAAATATGTTGCATTTAATAATTACCGTCTATACCGAATATAATTTTACAGTGAACACTAATTGTATAAAGTTATAGTTTTTAGAGTATAAATAAACCCATGTCCTGTTTTGAGTTAAAAAATAAATGGTCAGTTTAGTCTTTTTAGTTAAATTTAGTTTTAATATTTTTTAGTTAATAGTAAAAAGTAGGTATATTAGTACCTACTTAGATACTTTTTACCGAATTATAAGTATAGAACACCTTATTTACTCAATTATTTTTTGAAAAAGAAGAAAAAACAAGCAATAAATAATATACTATATTTTAGCAAAAAACTATAACTTAGTAATACTAATTATAACTTAGTACATAAATGAAAAACTCATAACTGACTTTTTGGCCCGACCCAGGATTCGAACCCGGGACCTCATGATCTGCAGTCGCACTACTACAACCACTAGACCAACGAGGCAGAACTATACTTAATAAAATATTGTGGTTGGGTGATAATATTGAATTAGTCTTTTATAGTGTAAATTATAATATTTGTCGAAATTTTAATTATGGATTCGAACCTTACATGCTAATGGTGCTTCATTTTTTTATTTGCATTTACTTCAAAGAAAATACACGCAAAAAGCTTCATCGCGCAGTAAAAAACACAACAAATATATGTATAACTAATACGAAAAATTATACCCAAAACAAACAAATAATACTACCTATAAATAACCTAATAAGTAATAATATTATAATGTTATCGACTGATAAGATGACGTGAGCGCACACGGCGCTGGCAGACGCTCTAACGACACAGGTTCCACGTCGAAGAGCTCAGGGCTCACTGACTCGAGCAAGCCCGTGAGCAGTGAATACGCCCAGATTTTAAAATAATTTCTTAATAAAATCAAATTTTGGTCTTTTGAAAAAAATTTTACTATAGAAATGTTCATTAATAAATTGCCTATCCATTGGTGTAAATCGCAAAATAAAATAATACTTAATTTACGAGGAGATGAATGTTATCAATAATAATTTCACATTTATGTGGTTTCGTTGTAAGGAGATTATATTAATATTTATTCGTTTAAAAAAAAATTGGATATAGCTTTTATGGAATCAAGATTATGTAGAAATATAATGTGTTTTTTATTTCTTGATATATCTTTTAAATAAAAAGTAGATAGCTCCTAAAAACCACACAAATAACGACTAGCGCGACATTTTGCTCAACCTGCGCCTTAAAGAGAAAATAATTTAAAACCGAAGGATAGGAATTTTAACAAAAACAAAGTTCAAATGCTTTTATTTTTTAAACAGTTTACATAAAAAAATTTTTTTTCGATTTTTTACCGATAATTTTTTATCTAGTATCCGCACATTTCGTTTGATCAAGTGTAAAATTAACACATTGTATAGTATTAGTATAATATGTTAATATCTGGGTGACTGTGATATGAGTTCTTTCTGATCGGCTCGATACACTGGCACTGCGTAGAGATGTTGAATCTCTGCGTATTTTATCGCATCTATCACGGGGAGTGCTCTGAGGAATTGTTCGTACTAATTCCAGCCACTCAATTTCACCATCGCACATCGCGACAAAACTCACGTTACCATCTATACCATCTGGATGATTGGCGATTCACCACTGTGCGATTTAGAAGTTTTCTCCCTCGCACAACTTCCTTGTGGAATCAATTACCACCAGCGAATTTTCCGGACCGATAAGACTTAGGAACCTCCAAGAAAAGAGCTTACACCTTTCTAAAAGGCCGGCAACGCATCTGCAATTCCCCTGGTGTTGCGGTTGTTCATGGGCGGCTGTAGTCACCATCAAGTGAGCCGCACGCTCGTTTGCCCCCTCTTTTATAAAAAAAATAAAAATATCCGGGTGATTGTAATATCCGGAGTGTTCTATTGAACATACAAAACCTACATCAAGATAAATTTCTTATTCACTATAAGTTATGTTTAAAGAATGATATTTTAACCGACTCCAAAACAGGGGGAGCTTTTTAATTTGGCTGCATGTATTTTTTTTTTTGTATTTTAAGCGATATACTCTCCAATTATGGAACGTTTTTAATAATTTTTTTTAGTAAATAATAGCCCTTTTATAATAATTGCCTATAAGACCTCAAGGGTGGTCCCATTTAAATTTCAAGGAAACACTTTAGCCCAAGTGTAAATACAGATTAGCGAATGAAAGTTTACTATTTATTCTATGACATTCTAGTTGTTAGCTTTACGTTGTTATATTGCATAGTCCACACAAAAGATACAAAAAATTAAACTTTACGATCAAAGTAAAAGGCTACTTTAAAAAACTAAAATAATTAAATAATTAATGTAATTTCCACATGCAATAGATTCCAAAGTCGGTGATATGACAGTACATCGAAGAATTAAAGCCGACTTGAGAAACAATTAATCATCTTATACTCCCATAGTTCTTTAAAGTAATTTTTTTCAATGTTTAATTTTTACAAGATCAATTTTTTGGCTAAAGCTGTCATAGGCGTTAAGTTGATTAATGTTTTTGTTTCAGATATCCAGACCGATGCTTGAAGCACTAGTTGCCCGAAATTCTCTAAATAGTGTACGCCTAAGAGCGTTAAAAAAACAGCATCAAGAATTAATGTCTATGTTGGAAAATATGTCTTGTAATGTTTAAGTACGTATAATATTATGAGAATAAATATTGAATATACTGTATTTAAAAAAATTACATAATATCATTTTTGTCTATAATTTCAAAACCATCGGAAGAATCAATGCTTGAAATCCGTTTTCTTCTTTTGTCTTCTTGTGATGTATACATTATATTAGCAACGGCACCGCCAAAATTTTGAAAAACATTGTAGGCAGCATTTGTCCATGTATTTTCTGGGTGTACTACCAGAGTTGATTGAAACCGCTCCTTTGGTTGATCTAGAAATAGGTATAATAAAATTATAAAGTAGAACAATTTACAGTTTGATGTAATGGTATTATATTATAACACTTGCCTGCAACCTGTGGTATGTATTCATCTTCACTAGAGTCTGAAGTTTCAATATCTTGTTCAAATGTTTGCATTTTCTCCATTGATAGATTAGTAACAAGTAAACTGCTATTTTCTGAACTATCACTAGCTTCTTCAATAGGCAAATCTTCTGGCTTCCAGTAATCTAAGTGAAATTCTTAAATTTAATATTGTGATTATTGTCACTTGGTGAAATGCCCTCTTCATTAACTTAGTGGTAGAGGCACGCTGCTGCTATATTATAGTTGCAGCACGAAAGGGTCGGCTTGACCGGAGAAAGATAACGTTCTCACTGTTTCTGTTCTGTTCTTACTGTTTTGTATAGTAGAGAACCTGGAATCTTTTGTTACTAGTAAAGAGTTTTTCGATCTTAGCTCTGGGGGTGACAACGCATCTTATATTTTGATTCTTTATCGAGAATAAATGTATGTGTTTATAGGCCATAGCATCTACATACCATCAGATGGATTGTGTGCTCGTTTGACATATTATTCCTTATTTTTAATTCACCCTTTATGTAAACTGACCGATATTTTATATCGTATTTTATTTCATTGAGTAATTGTGTGTTGTAAGAGGCAACAGAGGGATCTGACACAAAAGATGCCAAGTGTTATTCCTTTGAGACAATCTATGGAGGATGAATGGATTCTATGAAAGCATTGTATTTCCCCTGCAGTTTTGCAGCCATAAAAAAAGTGTAGAGTGGCTCACCTCACGATGTCGTGGAGTTTCGGAAAGCAGCCCGTGACAAACTAAAATTTGGATGAGACTTGCATTTGGTTCGTTACTTTTAATATAAATTATCAACCTCTTAAACTTCTGGCAACCCGAAAATAGTAATCTTTTCACTAACTGACATTTAACCAAGAAAACATCTCATCTGCTAACAAATAGTTTAAATACACACTAAAAAAAATTTATTACCTAAGTTTTGTTTTTCATCAATTATTTGACTTTGTTCTTGTTCTATAGATAGTAAATCCATATTTGCATCCGATACTTCTGGGATAAGACCTTCCAGCTCAAAATCAGATTCTGTAAAGTAATACAAACTTCATCATCATCATTATCATCATTACAGCCCTTCACAAGTCCACTGCTGAATGTAGGCCTCCCCCAAGGAATACCAGAAAGCACAGTCCTGAGCCACCTGCATCCATCGACTTCCTGCATGTTTTGCCAGGTCGTCACTCCATCTAGTGGGGGGTCGCCCTACACTTCGCCTACCGGTACGAGGCTGCCACTCGAGAACCTTTTTTCCCCATCGGTTGTCGGTTCTTCGAGCTATATGGCTGACCCATTGCCACTTCAGCTTACTAATCCGTTGGGCTATATCGGTTACTCTGGTTCTACTGCGGATATCCTCATTTCTAAGTTAATCATGCAGAGAAACCCCGAGCATAGCCCACTCCATAACTCGCTGAATGACCTTGAGCGTACTTATACGGTCCATATATGTCATCACTGGCCACACGCACTGGTTGTACAATCTCGTTTTCAGGTTTTGAGGTATACATGATGAGAAGATGTGTCGTAATTTCCCGAACGCTGTCTAGGAGAATTGAATCCGTCGATTGACCTCTCGGTCGAAGTTTGACTTACCTAGTCAGACTATTTGTCAACAACTTCAAACTTAGTGGTGATATGGATATTAAATGGTTGCTAACCCACGAGCTAAGTGTAGCAACTATGGCAATATACCCCACATGACGACCTGGTTAGAGATGCAGGAAGTCGAAGTGTGCGTGTGGCTGAGGACAGTATTTTGTGGTATTTTTTGGGGGAGGCTGTCCAGCAGTGGACTTGTGAAGGACTGTAATGGTGACAATGATGATTTGAAATTGATTATAAGGGCATTAAAGGGTACATCCAATATGTATGACAGTTGTTATTAGCAATATGCATAAAAGTAGTGTATATAACAGTGGTAGAGCCACGTGGCAGCTTTTGCTGTCGCACAGATGGGCCGGCTCGAACCGGGGGTAGTACCACGACCTCACAGAAAACCAGCGTGAAGTAGAAGTTTACCTCTGCGTTTCGCTTGGTGAGTGCAGGTGGCCGGAGGCCCTTTTTACTGGAAATGAGGCATTCCATCTTAGTCCTCACGGGTGACAACACATCTACATTTTGATTTGTAACAGAGGATAGATGTAGATGTCTATGGGCCGCAGCAACCACTTACCATCAGGTGGACTATGTGCTCGTTTGTCACCCTTATCCTATAAAAAAAAAAAAGTTAATAATATTTTACTTTTTTATATTTCCAACATTACTGGCACTATTTAGCGCACCCATTACCACATGGGGGGACTAAGGCAATCGATGTCCTGATGATAGCTAACAAAGGCTAACTTCAACTTTGAAATATTAATTCTTGATCCAATCTTTGCAATAAAGCAATCTACAGTATCTTGAAGTCATGTAATATTATGTTTGGGTTTGATTTTATTAATTATGGGATCCCGTGCAGATGGTAGCACTCAATCATGTTCTCTATTGCAATCTATTGAAATTAGGATGTTTTTTTTTATTTCAATAGCCCAAAGCATCGGTTCTTCACAACAGCTTTATGTTATTTTGCTTGGGAATCCATAGGAAACGTCAGGAATTAATAAAGTTATAATGAAACCTAATTAGATCCATAAAATCAGCTTAATTCCATGTGTATTCGCATAAATTTAAGAAATAATATATATGGTGATTTGGCTCGCACCTAGCCATTTCACCTCAATAACTCATCCATTGTTCTAAGTAATGTATGTAAGTCTCAACTGTATATTATAATAAAAAGATAAAACATTTCATAATTAACTACATAAAAAGATTTATTTTCACTGAGTTTTCATGATTTAGTATTACTAGTACAAAGAAAATAAAATATTAAGTATGAACAATAATTACCAACATAAGAAATTACCTGCATTTTGTTTTATTTTCTTTACAAGCTCCCGCATGGGTGGTGTTAGTTTATAAGAAATGCTTAATACCATGCCCAAAATGTATATTATTGTATAGCCACTGATATGTTTGCAGATAAAAAAGGTCAACCCAAAAATAATTTGCAGTAATAAAAATGCCTGAAAGTAAAATCATTTAAGAATGATTCTTTAACAATATACTCTATAATATATTAATTCATAACAGTAACAGTTTTATCAAATATTTAAATTATTAAATGAAAAACCAAACAACTAATTAACATATGAAAACAAGCAGTTAAAAAAAATTTTAAAATATAACAATTAAAGAAACCTCTGGTTCATATTGATTAAACAATTCATTCAATTATTGCATTCCGGGTTTCTATATGCAGTAATGTATTTGTTTCATATATATTGGTACAGTCTTACAAATAAGCTCTAGTACTGGCAAATGCAAGTAATGCAATACCTATATTTTAGAGGAATTATTGGGTACTTTCCGAGTTAAATGGTTCAACCATTACTCCGTAATTAATACATACAATTGGCCACAGATTTATTAAGCTGCCAATTTCTGATTGTCTTTAAGTTAAAATTCTCTTCACTGTTACTATAATTAGCAAAAAATTTGAAGAAGTATTACATATTGTGTATGAAAAGATAAAATGCAAGTACTAAACTAGTAAATATATTAAAGAATTACCTTAGTATGATTTTGTTCACGCAAGTAGACATAATCAAGCCATCTACTATATATCCATTTACTTAATTGTGCAGTAGCTGTTTTCAATCTGGTAATATCCTGACTAGCTAGCTTTTTTAAACATGTAGTTCTATGCTTATATTTCAACCAACATTCAAAAGCATCAATACCCAAAACTACTATGTAAAACTTTAAAATAAATTGTAATAAATTCATTTCTTGATGCGCATAGATCCTATAAAAAAACTCGTTATAATATGTAACTTTAATCATTATAAATATTAATCATAAAGGTGTAAAATTGAAATACAAACAATACTTACAAAACAAATAAATTAAGTAACACGATAAACATAACAGATAACCATATTTTTTTCCAAAATAAAATATCTTCGACAACGCCAACAAAAATGTGGAAAAAAAGAGAGGATTGATTTTTATTTCTTTCGGCACATATAGTGTTACTCAATTTCAATTTTCTTTTTAATAAAGCAAACATAATGATTTATTATATTTATAAAAACTCGTATTCAAAGAGTATATTAAATTCACTTTTTTACCCACAACTACTACAACTATGAAACATTTCCCGCAAAAATCAAAGCAATTGTTTTTTTAATAAAATGAAGTGCTCGACCAAAACCAAAATCAAATCTAATAAATAGTAAATACCCTTTGACAGCTGTCATCTGTTTTTTTTGGAGTTTATGGCCTGGTATCTAGACCTTTAGGCCAAGTCTTGATTATTTTTATTGTGTTTATTATAATTTTCCCACTGTATTTTTGATGAATTGTATGTAGAGGCACGTAAAAGGATCTATTTTTTAACATATCACGGCGGCAGGAGGGATCTTGCACTGTCACTTGATTTTGCACTATGTCACTAATTTCACTGACAATAATCAATCTGTCAAATGATAAGCACTCACATGTAAATATGAAATATTCGATATCACCAACAGAATTAGTGCAGAAGGTGCAGTAGCTGCTCTCCACTATGCCCAACCGAGCCAGGTGGGCCG